TCCTTCTTTTACCAAGAGGTTTTTAAGGGGCCCCCAGAACCTTTATTCCTCCCCCCCCCCCCCCCCCCCCCCCTCCCCCAGCACCTGCACCCTGATGGGACCTCAATTTAGTGCTGCCTTATGAGACACCCCTCCCCCCATTTGAGCCTATGGCCACATGTGCACTTTCATTTCTCACAATGAGGGTGCTGTTTTGGTAGTCGTCCCCTCCACAAGGAGGGTCAATGAGATTAATGGCTGGTCCATCCTACACCATTTTTGCCAAGGACAGAGTGACTCTAAGACCGAACCCTTCCTTTCTCCCTAAAGTCAGCACCTCATTCCACATCAGTGAGCCTATAGTCCTGCCCATTTTCTCCCCCCCAAAAAACACGTCCAGACAACTTTCACTTTTGAAAGACCTGCTTTCAAAAAAGCGATTGGAAGAAGATATGCAAATTTCCACAGTCGTATGCTGGACATTCGTCACATTCTAGAGTTCTACATTGACAGAATGCAGGTGTTCCACAAAATGGCATGCCTTTTTGTCTCAGTTGCTAACCATTCCAGGGGCACACCCATCTCCTCCCAACGCATCTCCAAACTGATAGCGTTCTGTATCATCCACTGTCATGGTCTTCATAATAAGCCCTTGACAACTGCCGAGAGCCGTGCCCTGGCAACAACTACTGCTTTCCTGAGCAGTGTCCCTTTGAGTGACATCTATCAGGCAGCCACCTAGTCATCTGAACATACCTTTGCCAGGCATTATGCCATCATGCCGCAACTAGCAGGAGATACAGCAGTGGCTACAGAAGTCTTATCCTCTGCCAGTAGGCAGTAACTCCGATTCCCACCATCCACAGTGGGTACAGCTTTGTAATCATCTACAGTGGAGAATCCATGGGGACATCACCCGAAGAAGAAAAGGAAGTTACTCACTTCATGCAGTAACGAGTGTTCTTAGAGGTGTGTGTCCTAGTGGGTGCTCCCTGACACTCCCTTTCACCCCTCTGCTCGGGTGCAATTGAGGAACGGAAGGTGAGGGGTTGGACCATGCGTGAGACGGTTATTAAACCACCAAGGGCGTTAGCTGCCTCCTGCGCATGTGCGGCCCAACAGTATACTGCTAGGGAAAAAGTTCTGAACTGATGCTCCAGGGGATGACCCTTCACTGGTGGAGAACCCACGGGGGGACACATACCTCAAAGAACAGTCGTTACTGCACAAAGTGAGTAACTTCCTTTTATTTTGTATATGCGTGAAGTTGGTATGGGATTCATTCTGATTTACTTCAACAGAGATGTCAGAATTTTCTCAGCATATATCTAAAGAGCCTTTGCATAACCCTATTTAATTGTATAACTAGTTGATATGAACTGAAATTATCCCTATTGTGAAAATAAAAATCTTTCCTGTTTTAAAATAATTTATAAGCCAGTCAGTTGCTCATTATTAATAAAGTTTGTTTTCCTTTTCGCGATACTTGACATTGGTTTTGTCATATTCTATTTGGGCATCTTTTAGATTGATAGGGAATTAATAGTGCTCCAGCTGCATTAAAACACCCACAATTTACTGCTGCGGGACACACATTCTGCTCTCTACTATTGATGCTGCTGTTACTTCTTTCAAATATCTTCTAATTAAATTGTGCATGTTTTGTTGCAATTCTGCTTTTTTCTTTTGTAATTTGTTATATTTATTCTAAAAAAAAATTACTTTTCCCACTAGGATTTAGGAAGAGTCTAATAAAAAAAATCGAACAATGACACAGCATTACATAGTCAAGGAGTAATGGAAAACCTATTATTTTTTTACCAGTTAAAATTAGTTATAATAGAAATATGTCTGTATCCTGAGCTTTGGGAAGTACTTTTTAAAATAATAAACCACTTTTTGGCCTGATTGTTTTTTGTTCCTCTGCAGCATGGTCACTTGCAGATTTAAACTAGTGTAAATGGCGGAGTCTCTGTAACTTGAAGTATTTTTAAGTCATTATTTAAAGCCTTTGGTAACTCAGCCAGAGATTAGGGGTCTATTACAGGAATTGGGTGGGTAAGGTTTGGTGACCTGCAATATGCAGGAGGGCAGAGTACATGATCATGCTGGTTCCTTCTGTCCTTAAAGTCTATGAGTTACAGGATATGTCTGCATTACTATGTATGTCACTCAGAGGTGTGAATAAGCCATCCCCTCAGTGACTTTAGTTACACCCAGCTAAGCACTGGTGTGGACAGCACTATGTTAGTGGGAGATTTTTCTCCTGTCAGTGTAGTTGCCACCATTTTTTGGAGGTGGATTAATCCAGTCCATGGCAGAGTTCTCTCCCAGCAGTTTGAGCAGCTACTCTAGAGAGCTTACAGTGGCACCGCGTTGCTGATGTCCCTGTGTCATTATATGCTCTCTAATGTAGCCATAGCCTGAGTAATCACTCACTTGTGCTTCTGACTGTAAATTCCACAAGAGCAACCCTCACCGCCACCAAAGTTTTTTTTTTTTTTCCTCCCATGATGAAGTGTAATACTTGAAATGCCAGCATTTCTAAATTAAAGTACAGATGTTTACATTATGTTTGGGTAATGATTGGGAAACTGCTTTGGGAAAAGGATTTTTATATATTTTTCACACTATTTTCTTACATCCTTCTTGTAGTTCTGCAGAATCTGAAGATTTGGCTGTTCATTTGTATCCAGGAGCAGTTACTATTCAAGGTGTTCTCAGAAGGAAGACTTTATTGAAAGAAGGCAAAAAGCCTACAGTAAGACTTCAAATATATGCTTAAACCATTTTTCCTCTGCCTCTACTTTTAAAACAATATCTTTAAAACAGAGCAAAGCTATTTGGTTAAATTCTGGAAGTCTCTGCTCACTTTTTACCCACTCCTTAGTGAAAGAGAAATCCTGCTAAAATCAGTAGGAATTATGATTAAGTAGGAACTAACTTTTTAAAAAGTGTGTAAAGACTTCTATGTTTGGTAAGTTATATATTTGCCACTTACAAAGGCTCGTGCTCTTAGATTTGATTTGTTGGAATTCATATGATTTGTCTAAATCAAGGAGTTACTGTTATAGAAGATGGTTCTTCACTGTTCCTTCAAAAGTATTCCATTAATCCTGTACTAACATTTTTGCACTTGCATAAAGTATGTAACTTAAACATTTAATTTACCATAGTATAATCTGCCACTAAAAGAATGAGAAAATTTCTTTAGAGGGCAAGAGCCTGGCAACTGTTGAGATTAATATTTTAACAATCTTTTTGTTTAGTGTTGATATAACCCTACTGACACAAGAGAATTCACATATATAGCTTGTAGAATTCGGTCTCCACTTCCTTGCATACACAGTCTATAACTTCATAAATTATTGAGACATCTCTACAATGCCTGAATTAAATAACACTGGATGTATTAAGGAGGATGCATCCTTCTCAGAACTTTTGCTTTGAACTATAATGGCAACACACTGTTACGATATGTAATAATTATATTTATAACTACTAGATTCCCCCAAGCCAAAGCACTTACAATGCTGCACAATAAGGTACAGTACTGGACACCCATGCTACAACTGAATCCATGTGGCTAGACCTTTGTGTGTCTGCTATTGATACAACTGCCAGCTTATGCAGATACAATTACAAGATCTAGGTCCTTAACTAGAATGTCAGTTTTGCTGCCATTTATATCCAACTGGAGTGTGGAAGTACTAATCATTTATTTCACTCCCTAACTGTTGAACTGATCCGAAGAGTGAACAAATTAAGGAACCTCGACTACAAAATGTCATCATCCCCTCTCATTTATTGATAGATCTTTAATGACGTAAATCCCATTGGTTACGTGGGCGCTGTCCCAATGAATACCAGCTAAGAATCTGTCCCTTAAGATTATTTTTTTTTATTCTGACTGTCTATAAATATGATTTCTTAATCTATGGCACAAGCATCATGTCTATTCCTATATTTCTTATGTATTTGCAATCTCATTCTACCTTAATATTAAATGCCCTTGTTCTAATATATCAATTTATGCATACATTCAACTGCTTAAAAGTATTGCAAATTATATTGTAATGTAAATACTTTAACTTTATTTGGTCTGAGTTTAGTCATTTTATATTTTAAAAAACCAAAATGTCCTTGTTTGCATAATCCATTGCTTGCATACACTTGTTGACAAATCCCAGCAGTAATGATGTTAACAGGTAAAACCGTGGATTCTGCTTACATGTTTCAGACTACAATGTTTTCGCACATAATAAATTTAGAAAAATAAGCTCACTGGCCATTTAAAAAAACTCATTATTGTGTCTTATTAAAATATAGTATGAATGCAGACTAGAATAAATGCAGCACGTTTTTGTCATCATAATTTGAAGTTCCCAGAGAAGAAGAAAAGCATCTCTGTCCTTTCATAATTAAAGGTTTATGATGCCTGGAATCAGCATGTTACAATGCTGATGCCATACAATAAAAAATGCTGCTTTTTATTAATGCTGCTTCTATCAGCAGGTGGTTTAGAAATTTCTTTTTATTTAAACATTGTCATTGCTATTTGACAAATAGCAGCACATCAAAAATAATCTGTGTAGCTTTTTATAAGCCACAAAAAATGACTATTATTGTAGCTCAGTTGGCTGGTTGGCTGTAGGTTAGAAGTTAGTTCCCATTACACTAGCTAATAGGGATGGCCACGTTGTAATAGACTCCATAGTTAGTGAGAGATAATTGTACCACTACATAAGCATCAATAATAACTTTGGAACAGAAAGCATGTTCTTCTTTGAGTATTTGCTCATGTTGATTCCATGTAGGGGTGTGTGTCTGTGCTCAGTCATTGGAGATTTTTCCCTTAGTGGTATCCATTGGGTCAACAATGGTGCCCTCTGTTGTGCTGCTGGAGTAAGAGCTTTCATCTTAGAACAAAAATGGAGTGCACCATCGTTTTGAAGGCTCTCCTCAAGGAGGTTGTTTTCCATCTGGTGTCAGAGCCCTCCGGGCTAGACTGCTCAAAGGGTCGCTGTGGTTATGATGCTTATTTCCGAGTCTACCTATATAGTGTCCTACAAGGACAAGGTCAAGCTATGACCACAAACGGCTTTCTTGCCCAAAGTAGTTTTGCAGTTTCATACAGGTCACGATGTATACCTACCCATGCGCTTTCAAAAATCTCATAAGTCGGAAGAGGAGCACAAATTGCACTCTCTGGACATCTGGAGAGCTCTGGCCTTTTAAAGCGAAAGGACTAAGCTGTTCCATAAGTTGACTCAATTGTTTGTAATGGTGGTGGAGAGAATGAAAAGTGTTCCAGTGTCTGTCCAGAAATTTCATCCTAGATCACTGGCAGTATCTGTCTCCTATTATCTGGCAAAATTAAACTAGAGTGAAAACCTTGTTGTTGGTCTTCCTGGCCCAAGGGTCTATTCAAGATATCTGTAGGGCTGCTTCTTGGTTGTCCATCCACACATTTACATCTCATTAAATTCTGGCTTCAGTGGAGCAGTGTTGCAAAATCTGATGGCTGTGAATTCTGAACCTCCTTTTAGCGATACTGCTTTTGAATTACCTAGAATGGAATCAACATGAGCAAACACTCGGAGAAGAAAAAGTGGCTACCTACCTTTCATAACTTGTTCTTTGAAGTGTGTTGCTCATGTCCAGTCCATCCAACAATTACGCACATGGGCATATGCACACTAGAATGGAATGGTCATGAGAAGCACATCTCGAAAAACAACCGCTTTTCTTCAAGTGCTGGCTCGTATCCATTTCATTCTAGATGTGTTTGTGCCCACCCATGTGCACAGCTTTAGTGGGGTTACGGTTAACTGGTGGCATGGCTGGGCTGGAACAGCCTGCTGCACTGTGGGTGGGAGGCTGTGAGTGGAGAGACTCTCCAACCTGGTTGGAGCAGCCCCTACCCATGGCAGGGAGGGGCCTGCCATGCCACAGGCTGGGGGCACTCCAGTCCTGCTGGGCTAGCGTAGCACTTCAGCCACCCCTCTTTAAGCAGTTAACTAGTAAAACATAACATTTAACTGATAAAATGGGATTTTACATCTGTAAAATGCAGCATGTGACTCAGGAACCAGCAAAGGCTTCTCACAAGGATAAGTCAGCACCCTGAGGGAACGATGGAGTGCTGCCAAGCCCCCAAGATAAAGCAGTGCTCTGCACCGCAGATTGCTGGAATCACAGCCTAGACCCTTTGGGGCTCTTCCTTGGTCACCAGACTGTGTTCATGGTTTCCACCATCTAACACAGGTTGCCTAGAGGAGTGTGCTGGTCCCCATAATACCAGAACCATTCATCTGCCTGCCAGTCATTCTCCCAATTGCTTGCCTGCCTCATGGGAGTGCTCCCCATGCTTCTCCAGTCCCAGTTCTCGATATCTGCACCTATCACCTCACTTCAGGCACCAGTCTCGGGTGATGACAGTCAGTCCACAAGCCTAGGCATCAATGGTCATGCTGTAGTCACTAGAAGGGAATTCTTCCACATAGAAGCTTGATTCAGCCTCTTGCCAAGATTTCACTGGTGCGAATGGGCACCCAAGTCCACGTTGACATCGACTGTGCCAACTTGGCCAGTGGCTAGTGTAGTAGCCTTATAGGAGCAAGTGGGGAATGCTTATTCCTGTGATTCCCCCTTCACACTCCTTGTCGACGGCTGCCTTTGAGCAACAGCTGGCACACCGATGGCACCAGGTTCAGTATATGAGGCATGCTCGGAAGTCAAAGCAGAGGGAACTACAGCCACCTCTAAGCCACCCTTCCCCCACGGGGGAAGATACCCAGAGTTTCACCCAGCAGTGCGGCCATCATAATCTTCAAATGTGGCAATTCCCAGACCCTTAAGGACCAGTTCATTGGACAACTTCAAAGAGCACCAGCGCCCTGCTGTATTGGGTGGCCAAGAATTTGGGCCTAAAGGTGCAAGAAATGGCTAAGCAAAGAGATATCTTCCTTAATGTTTTGTCAGCCTCTAACCCAACCCATGTTGCATTACTAGTGCATGATGGTGTCTTAACATTGCCATGGCCCTCTGGTTAACTTTTTCCTCCATTCCTCCGACCTCAAAAAGGGCCCAAAAGAAATATTTTGTCCCAGACAAATGGTTTGATTACCCTTATACCCACCCTCCGTTGGGCTTACTGGTGGTCTCTGCAGCCAATGAAAGGGACAAATGGGCATGTCAGTTGAACCCCCTCCCCTCCCACAAAAAAAAGAGACCAAAGTAATGGACCTGTTTGGAAAGAAAATGTATTCAACAGCCTATTTGTAGTTCCGGGTGGCAAACCATCAGGCCCCTTAAGCTGTTAGTATTTTAACTTACAGGACTCCCTCCATAAGTTCAAAGAGTCCTTCCCACAGAGTTTGGCCCAAGAATTTGGCACCCTGCTGGAGGAGGACGCTGCGGCTGCCAGATGTTCCCTCCAGATGGCATGGGATTCAGCAGATTTGGCAGTCAAAGTGGTTATGTTGAGATAGTAGTAATGAGGCTGCTGGTTTCAGGCCACAGGACTATCCAAGAAATACAGACCTCAATCCAGGATCTCTCATTCAAAGAGAGCAGTCTGGTTTTGGACCAGACGGATGCGAGGCTGCATGAGCTAAAGGACACCGGGGCCAACCTTGGCTCACTGAGCATGAATATGTCTCAGCCTATGAGAGAGCAGTTTTAGCTGCCCCATTGCCTGTGCTTTAGCAGTCTCATCAGGGGTGTGCAAGGAAAAGAGAAATAGTGACATTAGTTTCAGCCACAGTTGCCCTTTCTCCTCATACTCACTCTTGCAGCCTAATCTGGCAAAACACCCTGGGAGACAGAAGTGCTCATTTTGAGAGTATATTCAAGCGTGACACTTCCTCCCCTCTCTTCCACCTGGTCCCAAGCCACCTCAGACTATTGGTCGTTGGACGTAGTGTCTCAAGGTTACACCCTGCAGTTTATGGCTGCTCTTCCCTTCATCCCACCTCTTTCCTGTCCCTCTTCAGGGACACTTCTCATAGGCAACTCCTCTTCAAGAGATTGAGAACCTCCTGCCCATAGAAGCAGTGGAGGAGGTTGGCAGGGAAAGGTTTCTATGCCAAGTAATTTCTGATTCCAAAAGGGAAAGGGAGTCTCAGACCCATTTTTTTTACCTACAATGCCTTAATAAGTCTCTAAGAAAGTTGAAGTTTCGCCTGGATTCCCTGGCCTCCATCATATCCTTCCTGGATCTGGGAGACTGTTAATGTGCCCTCAACTTGAAGGTCACCTATTTCCATAACTCCATATTCCAAGGTCCCAGAAGTATCCTCTGTTTTATAGTGGATGAATGACATTTCCAATTTACGGCATTTTTCTTTGGCCTTTCATCAGACCCAAAGGTCTTTGCAAAACATATGATGCCAGTGGCTGCTTACCTCAGACATAAAGGGGTCCAGGTATTCCAGTATCTCGACAATTGACTCAAGGGCAAGTCTGACGATCAACAGTAGAGAAGCCTCTATCTGGTGTGTTTCATCTGCCATGACCTGGACCTGTTGGTCAATAATAAAAAAATCCTCCTTAAAGCCAGTCTAGTGCATATTGTTCGTAGGGGTGGTACTCAGCTCCATTCGAGCCAGGGCTGTCTTCCTGGAGGCACGTTTTTGGACCATGACAGACCAGATTTCTCATTTGAAGAACCACCCACTCAACATGATTTACACATGCCTGTGGTCACATGCGTGGTCCCATACCTAGCTCCACTTCCAGCCTCTGCAAACGTAGCTGGTGTTGGTTTATATCCCAAACAGACATGATCTAGAGGAGGTAGACAGGAGTGGTGATGGTGGGTTGGTGATGGAGGTATCCCCTTCATGGCCCCGATTTCTTCACTGACCCTGGTCTCATGCTTCAGACCTGCATTGGGGAGACCACTTGGGAGAGCTCAGGGCTCAAAACCACTGGCTCAGGGATGATTTGGCCTTTCACATCAATGTCAGGGAGCTACAGACAGTTTGCCTTGCCTGCCAAGTGTTCTTGTCCCACCCGAAGGGCAACGTGGGACAGGTCCTCATAGACAATACCATTGCAACATATTACATCAACAGGCAAGGCGGAGTTCATCTTGCCAAGGAGCTCTTAGCCTTTGAGACTTGTGTGAACAGCATGCCATTCATCTGGTAGCCATGCACATGCCTGGGATTAAGAATGTGCTAGCAAATTGCCTCCGCAAGAACTTCTTGACCCACCACAAGTGGACACTCCATCTTGAGGTGGCCAATATAATCTTCCCAAAGTGGGAGACTCCCAAGGTTGACTTGTTCATATCCTGCTAGAACAGGAAATGCCACGTGTTTTGTTCGCTCCGGGGCATGAACTGGAATTCCTTGTCAGATGCTTTTCTGCTTCTGTGGTAGAAAATTGCCTCCGCAAGAACTTCTTGACCCACCACAAGTGGACACTCCATCTTGAGGTGGCCAATATAATCTTCCCAAAGTGGGAGACTCCCAAGGTTGACTTGTTCATATCCTGCTAGAACAGGAAATGCCACGTGTTTTGTTCGCTCCGGGGCATGAACTGGAATTCCTTGTCAGATGCTTTTCTGCTTCTGTGGTAGAGACCA